ATTAGGGTTTGTATTTGATGATGGGTCAAATACATATGAAAACTATATATAAGGTTATTGTCCCCAATCATATGCAATTCTCATTCTTTGTGTCATCCCATCAACACAAGAATTAATAGAGAGGGCATATTGAAGAGAAAGATCAAAAACTCACAATCAAGAATTAAGGAAAAGAATTGGATCAGTTAAATTGAAGAACAAGAAATCAAGATTTAAATATCCAAATTCAAGATTGATTATTCAAGATACAAATCAATGAATCAATGTATGTTCCGCATTAATTAATTTTCTTGATGATTTGACATGGAGATCTTGGCAATTATGTGAAGTTTATAAAGTTTAAGTTTCATGAAAAATTCAACAAGTAGTATTAGAGCCAACTCATTCTTCTACTCATTTTCAATCGCACATTTTTCAATAAAATAATATTTTCCATCACATCAATAACTTTTCCTTCTTTTTTAATCACACATTCTCCATCAATCTACTATTCCAAAATTCGTTCTTCCAAAATAATGTGGTTTAAATACACTCATAATGTACATAAAAGTGAGCGCTTATATGAACTTGTCTAAATGTGAATTTGCAGTGAGCATCAAGAACAAGAGAGAAGAGAGAGAAATGAAAGATTGATTTTCAAAGATACGTAATACGTTTTCAAGTTCAAGTTCAAGTTCAAGCTCAAGATTTTAGAGAGAGAACTTTTGCTGTAATAAAATTGGAGACTTTCCGTTGACTAATGATTAAGGTGGAAAATTAACCTAAATGTTAGGAAAAATTAAGGATGGGCTCTTCCACGTTCTACGGAGTATGGTTATGAGTCATTAATTTTTAAAAATGAGGTTTTAAGTCCTTAACCTTTTTAAATCTGTGAAACTAGTCCTTAAGTTACTGATTAATTTGGGTGGCATGATTAATTGGAATTGTGGAACAGTTACATGGCGCTACAATGCCCATTTTTGAGCTACAACGCCGTTCAATTTATTTATTTATTTTATTTTATTGTGAAAAAATAAATAATAATAATAAAGGAAAAAAAATGAAGGGGCAATCAAATTCAATTTTGGTATTTAAAGTTTCTTTTGAATTACTAATTTTCTAAAATAGATTAGTTGAAGCAATATGTTACCAAAGTAATGTCTCTTGCCTAGATTAATTTATTTGGAAGGTTGTGTGTACGTAATTCATGCGGGTATTGACAATCCAAAGGAAGGTTAATATTTGGTCGAATTATTTACACAACAGTGGTGATAAATATATAACAATTGTGAAGTTTTCCATTATGTGAACATTGAGTTGGTCCAAAGATAGACTTAATGTTTAATCAGATTTATTATCAATATTTGATTACTACACCAAGAGTGTCATTTACAAGTTGATATTTCTGTCCAAAGACTAAATATCAATGTTGTGATGGGGTTCACCATTATTTGAAATTGTTGATTGTCCAATACAGATTTTCACGTGAACAAGTTATTTAAGATTAAGTTCTCTATTCGATTAATTTATCTACTTCTACAATATCTACCACAATCAATTCAATTCATGCGTTTAAACCAAAGTTTAATGGCTAGAAAGAGAACGTTTGTATCGTTCTTAGTGGCATCGATCTAGACCTTGCATTAAGAACTGAGCAACCTACTAATCTTACGGATGAAAGTTCCGCTACTAAAAAAGGGGTTCGGATTAGTAGAATCGTTCAAATCGCATAAGTCTTATAAATTTATAATCAAGAAGCGTGGTATTCTAGCAACATTCGGGGGCGTTGTGTCTGATGATGTAATTATTGCCAAGAAATTTCTTAAAGAAATTTTTTAAAAAATGCTTTGTAAAAGGCAATAAGGCCGAAACTAGTAAACTTCTGGTGAACTTGATTTCACTAAAGTATAAGGCTAAAGAAAACATAAGAGAATATATCATGGAGATGTCTTATCTTGCTTTAAAACTAAAAGCATTAAAGCTTGAGTTGGCCGATGACTTGTTTGTGCATTTAGTTTTGATTTCTATTCTTGCACAATTGGGCTAATTTAAGGTCAGTTACAACTGTCAAAAGGGAAAGTGGACTCTTAATGAGCTCATTTCATATTGTATGCAAAAATAAGAAAGACTAAAGCAAGATAAAAACTGATATTACTCATTTGGCAACTACCTCTAAGGACAAGTTATAAAGAATAAGAAAATTGCACCCAATTCGATTCAAAATAAACACCGAAAGCTTGATAAAAAAAATCCGGCTCTTACTTTTGTGAAAATTTGAGATACATAAAGAGAGACTGTACTAAATATCACGCTTGTCGTGTAAAGAAAAGTAAAATTCTCACTTTGATTTGTTTTGAGATTAATTTAGTTTCAATACCTAAACACACTTAGTGGATAAATTTTTTTGGTGCCACCACTCACATAAGTGTGTCTATGCGAGGTTGCCAGAACAGCCAAAAGTTAATTAATGATGAAAGATTCATCTATGTGGGGGCAATGCCAAATCAGTTAAGTTTGAGGCTATAGGAACTTTTAGGTTATTATTAAAGACCGGCTATGATTGAAATATGAAAGAGATATTTGTGGTAGCGTCTTTTAGATGAAATTTGGTTTCTATTTCTATATTGGACGAATTCGGTTACTCTTTTTCAATTGGAAATAGCCAGTTTGATCTTTTTCTTAGTTCAAATATTGTGGGTACCAATTCTTTATCCGATTACAATAACCTATATCTACTTAATATGTTTGCCTCTTATAAAGAAATTTTGTATGTGAATTTACATGGTATTAAACATAAATTAACCAATGAGAATTTTACTTCGTTATGACACAAGCGATTAGGAACCGTCTCTCAAAAGAGAAGGAAAATCTTGTGTCAGAAGGAATTCCTGATTCCCTTAATTTTTCAGATTTAAGTGTTTATGTTAATTACATTAAGGGAAAACAAACAAATATAAGGAGATTATGTACAAATAGCACTTTAGACGTCTTATAACTAATTCATACAAATATGTGTAGGCAATTTACTTCGACTTCTTAGAATGGTCAACAATAGTTTATTATGTTTATAAACGATTTTTTCTCACTTTGGCTACCTATATCTCATCTATGAGAAATCTCAAACACTAGACATGTTCAGGGCATACAAGACTGAGGTTGAAAATCAACTCAGTAAAAGAATTTAATAAGTGAGATCTTACCATAGTGGTGAATACTATGATGATATGACGAATCATGAGAATAACGTCCAGGGCCTTTTACTAAATTTTTAGAGGAATGTAGAATCGTTCCACAGTACATTAGAATCTCCCTAGATAAAAACACTAAAGACTGCAGCTTACATTCTCAACAAAGTTTAAAGTAAAGTTTGAAGATGTAGAGTTTGTGGGGGGAGATAAAGTTATAAGGTTATGGATTTTGTCTTCAATGAAGAATATGTATATGTTTCTTCTGTTGCCATTGACCATGATCAGGATCGGGGACAAATTCTTGCTCCAGATCTTGTTCAAGAAATAATTTCGGATCAAGACAATATTACAAAATTTGCTATACACAATAAAGAGATTGTTCCAGAAAAACAAGTCCAACAACCTCAAGAACAAATATCATTAAGGAAATCCACTATAAAAATGAGAAAGACAATTCTGGATGAATTTATAGTCTTTCTCCAAGAAAATAAAG